ATATATATATATATATATATATATATATATATATATATATATATATATATATATATATATATATATATATATATATATATATATATATATATATATATATATATATATATATATATATATATATATATATATATATATATATATATATATATATATATATATTTCTATGAGGTATATATATAGACTTCTATGGGTGATATATCTTTATATGTGTCATATATATGCGTGTGTAATACAAATTTACGTATAGATATACGTGTGTTTATGTCATAGTATGACTGTATAGTGCATACTTGTATAATATTGCCGTGCGCCTATACTATGTGTGATTCATGTTAAACAGTTGCGTGCATAGAAATATTTGTTCCTGTGGTGTAGGTAGCACATTAGGTTTTCGTCCTGGGGGAGTACAGTTAGTGTACCGGGAATTAGGGACTTGTTTAGTATAAAAAGTACGGCTGCCTTCCAAGTAGCGGGTTTAAGTGATTTTTAAAATAAGTATGTGTGGGGCAGTATGAGGAGTACGTTAGGTTTTGGTCCTAAAAGCGGAAGTTATAATTCTTCTTCCTGCAGGTTGTTGCGAAGAGCCTTAGGTTAAGATTAAATCGAGAGCCTTCAAAGTTCTAGTTGTAAGCGTAGGGTTGCTTTCAGGTTCTGTTGGTTTTGTGGTTGAATAACAACGTCAAATTGCAAATTTGAAGGTGTGCGTTAGAAATGGCTCCAGAGCTTGGTTTAAAGTGTGAGATGGCTGAGTTGTTAAGCAGAAGATTGTAGCTCTTTTTACGGAGAGTGTTTCTCCTCTCATAATTTGGCAGAGTCAGCTAAATTTAAGCTGTTGGGCTCATGCCCCGAAAATGGTATAAATGTATATCCTCTGCTAAGAGTATGTTTAGTTATGGATTTGGTTTTGGTTCTGTGTCTTGGTTTTAGCTACAGAAAACACATGGTACTTTATGGGTTCCGGTGAGTAGAAAATAGTTGAATTAAAGTAGATTTTAATATTTTGTTTTATTTTCTATTTTTAGGCATAATTGTGTATATATGACGCCTATGTTTATTCACTGTGTACACCAGTGTTGAAGGTTGAACAATAAATTGTGGTTTGATTCAGTGAGTTGCTACTGAGGCCTGGTAAAGTTTGTGCCAGCAACTGCGGTTAGACAAACAGGCCAAGCTAAGATTTGTGCAGCATAAAGTAGGGTTAGGGGTACAAAAGTTTAGTGCTTGGGAGTTTAGGATGACTTGAGGGGTGCAATCCTAAGAGTTGTGGTTTTATCTAATATTTCCTAGTTGCCTGATGCCCTGAAACTCCAGCTAAAAACCGGGATTTGGTATCCCGTTATTCGGAGTGTAAACTTTGGTCTGTAATCTGCTGGGGTACTACGAGCGTTAGATTTATTTTGGCTAGGCTTAAAACTCAAAAAACTTGGCGGTGTTTCATATCCTCCCAGGGGAACCTGTCTCATAAACGATGATCCACGTTTTATCTTACCTCGCTTTGAAACGCTTAGTGTGAAGCGGGTCAGCTTGTATACCGTCGCCGATAGATCACCCTTGAGGGGCTTAAAGTGGTCGGGAAGAGAAGCCAAAAGTTGTAGGTTGTTATTTTATTTACGAGTAATTGTGGCTGATACTTGTTATGCTGTGGGGCCTAAGGGTTCTTCAGTCGTTAGCTTCTCAGGATGCCAGATCAAGGTGCAGCTTATGGTGAGGTGATGATGGGTTACAATAACTTATTTGTTATACGGATTTTTCGCTGTATTTGTTATACGGATTTTTCCCTGTAATGTGGAATTTAAAGGCGGACTTGGATGTAATGTTGAATTAGGAAGTTATAGTGAACTAGGTTTTGAGATGTGTACAAATCGCCCGTCGCTCTCGTTGAAAAATGAGATAAGTCGTAACATAGTAGGGGTACCGGAAGGTGCCCCTGGAATAATGGTTAATTGGGGTATAGTATAAATATTACGTTTCGCTTACACTGAAAATATAGCTCGCGTGGGCTTGCCCTAAAAGTTAATTGATTGCTTTATTGTATGTAGTGGTTAGTCCGCTTTTAATGGTTTATTTTGGATTTAACAAATTTTTTATAAGTGTTAGTAGGTGTAGAAAGAAAACTTTATTGTTTAAGCTAGAGTGAAAAAGTACCGTGAGGGAAAGTAATTAGGTATTTAAGCTTTTTTTTAGTAGGGGTTAGATCCTGTACCTTTTGCATCATGGTTTTTTAAGAGGTTTTTTGAATAAAGTTGGCCCGAAAAAAGACGAGCTATTTTTTGGCTTGCGTCATCGTTGTAAAGATGTGCTGAGACTAAGAAATAGGAGTGATATTCTTTTCGCGTTTTTTGATAGCTGGTTAGTCGGGAAAAGCATTAGAGTGCTGGCTTAACTTGTGGTTCTGGCTGTTGACAGTGTCGTGTTACGGCATTGAGTTGAGCGGGGAGCATTGTTGGGTTAAGTCTTGCGTAAAAAAGGATTAGCTTTTTTACGTTGTTAAAGAGTGCATAGTTGATAGCATAATAATAGTTTAGTAGGCTTGGAGTTAGCCACCTTTCAAGTTTGTTTTAAGATATTTATTTATTTTTAGCTAAAAATTTGTATATGCGTTTTTAAGTGATTTAGTTGTGAGTACCGATTTTATTGATATAATTAAGTTTATTTGTGGGATAATGAGGAAATGAGTATTTATTTTCATTTAGTTTGTTTTTGCTTGTTAAAGTAAGTAAACTAAAGTTCAATTTATGTGTTGTATGGAAAAAGTATAAATCTAGAAAAGGAACTCGGCAAATGTCGGCCTCGCCTGTTTAGCAAAAACATGGCTCCTCGGTTATTTAAGTAAATGGGGAGTCGGACCTGCCCGGTGACCTAAGGGTTAAACGGCCGCGGTACACTGACCGTGCAAAGGTAGCACAATCACTTGCCTTTTAATTGGAGGCTGGTATGAATGGTTTGACGAGGGCTGAGCTGTCTCTTCTGGAATATTTAAAAATTAACTTCTAAGTGAAAAGGCTTAGATTTAGCTGAGGGACGAGAAGACCCCGTTGAGCTTTAGTGTGGGGTAAAAGGCTTTGTCCCTACTTTAGGTAGAGGGCTAGAATTTATTTTTACATCTTTAGTTGGGGTGACTGGGGAACAATGAGTAGCTTCTCTGTTTTTATTGAGTTTAATTCGGTTTACTGACTGATGATCCGGCATTGTTGATTATCGGAAAAAGTTACCACGGGGATAACAGCGTAATCTTTCTGGAGAGTTCACATTGAAAGGAGGGTTTGCGACCTCGATGTTGGATTAAGGTGTCCTGAGGGTGTAGCAGCTTTCGTTGGTTGGTCTGTTCGACCATAAAAACCTTACATGATCTGAGTTCAGACCGGCGTAAGCCAGGTTGGTTTCTATCTTCAGTTTGTTATATTCCTTTGACTAGTACGAAAGGCCGTTATTAAGGCGAATATTTAATTTGTTAAAACTGAATTTATCTAAGTTTGGGATTAAGTAGTGTTTTGGGTATTTGTTAAGTTGGCAGATTTATGTGACTGATTTAGGCTCAGTAGAAAAAGGTGAAATCCCTTTACTTAATAACATAATGTGGAACTAATTTCTTGTAGTTTTATTATTAGAAGTATTTGTTATAAACACTTTTAAATTAATAAAATGAGATTGCGTGAGGTGTTGAGGTGGCAGATTAGTGCGTTAGGTTTAAGCCCTAAATATGGAGATTAAAGTTCTCTTCTTAATAGATGCTAGGTTCTGTGGCGTGGGTTTAGTTAGATATATTTGTGTGTTGTTGGGGGTCGCGTTTTTTACACTCCTGGAGCGTAAAGGGCTGGGGTATTTCCAGATTCGAAAAGGCCCGAATAAAGTTGGGTTGATAGGGCTGCCGCAGCCTCTAAGGGACGCGGCAAAGCTTTTCACTAAGGAGCTGGTAAAGCCGACTCTTGCAAATCAGTTTGCATATTTTGTTGCCCCTGTAATGGGGTTAGTGTTGGCTTTGTTGCTCTGGCAACTGTATCCTTCGGATAGCTTAGCAGAGCATTTTAGCTGGGGTATTTTGTTTTTTCTATGTGTTTCTAGGATGAATGTGTATAGTACCTTGTTGGCCGGTTGAGCGTCGAATTCTAAGTATGCATTATTAGGGGCTATTCGAGCTGTTGCGCAGACTATTTCTTATGAGGTGAGATTAGTCTTGATTTTGTTATTTGTGTTGTTCGTCTGTCCTAGGTTCAGTTTCATGGATGTGAAGGAGTCCCATGGAGTGGTGTGGTTAGGGTTTCTTTTCGTGCCAATTTCTCTAGTCTGGTTTGTGTCGTGCATTGCTGAGACTAACCGTGCTCCGTTTGATTTTGCGGAGGGGGAGTCTGAGTTAGTGTCTGGGTTTAACATTGAGTACAGTGGTGGGGGGTTTGCTTTGATTTTTATGGCTGAATATGCTAATATCCTAGTAATGAGGCTTTTTAGTGTGGTTTTGTTTTTCGGTGCCGGGAGTGTCGGGAGCTTAAGGTGAGATTTCGTGATGGGAGTTAAGACCCTTTTTGTTGCTTTTGCTTTTATTTGAGTTCGGGCTACTTTACCACGATTTCGGTATGATTTGCTGATAGGGTTGACTTGAAAGAGGTTTTTGCCGCTAGCTTTGGGGGCTTTAGTTGTGGTAGTTGGGGTTATGTTTTGTGTGGTTTTAGTTTAAAATTGTGTGTCGAGGGGTAGTTTAAGTAAAATACTAGCATTGGAAGTTAGCGATTGGGGAAGTCCCCCATCCTTTGAATGGCAGTTCTTTCTGTTTTTAGGGTTTGTTTTTCTTTGTTGGCTGTTATACCAGTGTTGAGCCAGCCTTTGGCTTTAGGGGTGGTTGTTCTTTTGTTTAGGCTGTTTTCGTGCGTAATGGTTGGATTGTGTGTCTCTTCTTGGTACGGGTATGTTCTTTTTTTAGTGTATGTGGGGGGTTTGCTTGTAATGTTTGCTTATGTGGCTGCGCTGGTGCCTAATAGGATTTTTTTAGGGTTTTGAGTCTTCTTTGGCTTTTTTTGTGGGGCGTGCCTGTCTGTCGGGCTTTACTTACTGTTATATGTCCAAGACTGTAAGGTAGTTTGTTGGTTTAATGAGTTGGGTTCTGGGAAATTTTTATTTTCTTCTGGTTTTGGTTTGGTTAGGTCTAGCGGGGTTTCTATTATAGTGACGCTTGGGGTTGTTTTATTGATTAATTTGCTTGCAGTTGTGAAGGTCTGTTACTATCAGCAGGGTCCTTTGCGGTTTCACTCTGAGTTGAAGTAGGGTGGGTAAGTCAGTTTGATGTCTAGCTATGCATAAGCCAATTCGTAAGGTGCATCCTGTTTTAAAGGTTGTGAACGGTTCTTTAGTTGATCTTCCTACTCCTATTAACTTATCTGTTTGGTGAAATTTTGGGTCTCTCTTAGGGTTGTGTCTTGTAGTCCAAATTGCTACGGGATTGTTTCTGTCAATGCATTATAGTGCTCATGTGGAGTTAGCGTTTTCGTCTGTTGTGCATATTTCTCGTGATGTAAATTATGGGTGACTTTTGCGGGCGATTCATGCTAATGGGGCGTCTTGGTTTTTTATCTGTATTTATGTTCATATTGGTCGTGGGATGTATTACGGTTCTCATTTAAATGTCCACACTTGAAATATTGGTGTAGTGTTGCTTTTATTAACTATGGCAACTGCTTTTCTGGGCTATGTTCTTCCGTGGGGGCAGATATCTTTTTGGGGGGCTACTGTAATTACTAATCTTTTTTCTGCTATTCCGTATATCGGGAATGAGCTTGTGCAGTGAATGTGGGGTGGATTTGCAGTTGATAATGCTACTTTGGTGCGGTTTTTTAGTCTTCATTTTTTGGTGCCGTTTGTTATTGCTGGCATGAGAGTCCTCCATCTGTTGTTCTTGCATGAGACCGGGTCTAATAACCCTTTAGGGCTGAATAGGGACGGTGATAAAGTTCCATTTCATTTCTATCATACGGTTAAAGATTTAGTTGGGTTTTTGGTCCTGTTACTTTTCTTAATGTTGTTGGTATTTTTTGATCCGTTTCTTCTAGGGGACCCTGAAAATTTTATTCCGGCCAACCCACTTGTTACGCCAGTGCATATCCAGCCGGAGTGGTATTTCTTGTTTGCTTATGCGATTCTCCGGTCCATCCCTAATAAGCTAGGGGGAGTAGTTGCCTTGGCTATGTCGGTGGTGATTCTGTTTGTCGTGCCGCTATTTCACTCCGGGAAGTCCCGGTCATTCTGTTTTTATCCGCTAAATCAAATTCTATTTTGGTGTTTTGTAGGTATTTTGTTTATTTTAACGTGGATTGGGGCGTGCCCTGTTGAGCCGCCATATGAGGGGATCGGGCGAGTGTTCACCGTTCTCTACTTCGTGTACTACTTAGTAAGACCAATGCTTCAAATAATGTGAGATAATATTCTTGAATATTAGTTTATAAACCGAGCTGCTGGCCTGGGGCAGGTTTTGTCTTGAAAATGAAACAGAAGTGTTCGAATCACTTAGTAGCTTTTGGGCAGAGTCGGTAGGTGGGGGAAGTAGTAAGAAGGGATGATACCTTCAACCTTCGGCTTACAAGACCGATGCCATAAATTCGGCTTTTACTACTGGAAGGTTAGGGTTGATAGAGTGAAGATATGAGGAGTGTTTCTTATTTGTTTGTTATTGCTGTTTTCGGGGTCGGGTTTTCGGTTGTTGTTTTGAGTTTGCAGTATAAGCATCTTTTAGGGGTTTTGCTTTCTCTGGAGTTGATGATGTTGAGGTTGTTTTTGATGATTGTTAGAGTGGGTAGAGGTTTTAATTTTGAGGGGCAATTGTGTTTAATTTTAATTACTTTGAGGGCCTGTGAGGCTAGTTTGGGGTTGGCCGTTCTCGTTTCTTTAATTCGGACGCATGGTAATGATTACGTGCATAGGTTTAATGGGTATAAGTGTTAGGGCTTTTGTCTACGGGTTTGGTACTATCTATCGGTTTTTTTGGAGGGGGTGTTTCATGGTATTATCGGCTGTGGGGTCTTTGTTTTGGGGGTTTTATGAGTTTGGTTTTTGTGTATTCTGGTGTTTTAGGGGGGTGTGCTTTTAGGGGATTTTTGATGAGAGATGGGCTAAGATCTTCGTTAGTTGTGTTGTCATGGTGGATTTCTTTGTTGATGTTGGTTGCTAGTCAGGGGAGGGTTAAGGTTGGGTTAAATAAGTTTTCTTTGTTTAGGTTGTGTGTGTGTGTTTTAAATTTTATTTTGATGGTTAGATTTTTTTGTGTGGATATTGTGTGATTTTATGTTTTTTTTGAGGCGTCTTTAGTGCCGACTTTTATTCTAATTTTAGGTTGGGGATACCAACCTGAGCGACTGCAGGCCGGGATGTATATGATGCTTTATACAATTACTGCGTCGTTGCCGTTGCTGGCATTGATTTTATATAAGTTCGAGTTGTGCGGAACTTCTAGGTTTTTGTTGAAAAACTTTTTATGTGAGTTCTATGGTAATGGGTTTGTTGGGTGAAGGGGCATGGTTGGATCTGAGGTTGTTTTTTGTCTCGGGTTCGGTGCTTTTTTAGTGAAGTTGCCCATGTTTTCTTTGCATTTGTGGTTGCCTAAGGCCCATGTTGAGGCACCTGTAGCAGGATCTATGATTTTGGCGGGTGTTTTATTGAAGTTGGGTGGTTATGGGATGATTCGTGTGTATAGTTATTTCTGTTTGTCGAGATACAGGGTTTTTAGGGATGTAATATTATGTTTGGGTTTATGAGGGGGTGTGGTAACAGGTTTTATTTGTTTTCGTCAGGTTGATTTGAAGTCTTTGATTGCTTATTCGTCTGTTGGTCACATGAGGTTAATGTTGGGTGGTTGTTTGTCAAATTCGTCTTGGGGTTGGCAAGCCGCCCTTGGGATGATGTTAGCTCACGGTTTGTGTTCGTCAGGGATGTTTGCACTGGCTAACTATAATTATGAAAAGACTGGGACTCGCAGTTTAGTGATGAGCAAGGGGATGTTGATGATTTCTCCGTATATATCTATGTGGTGGTTTGTGTTTTGTGTGGCAAATATGGCTGGTCCACCTTCTATTAATTTGTTAAGTGAAATTATAGTATTTCCTTCTGTCTTGTTTAAGTCTTTTTGGTTGTTTGTTCCACTCGGGTTAATGAGTTTCTTAGCGGCTGTTTATAGCCTGTTTTTGTATACTAGTACTCAACATGGTGGGTTCCCTAAGTTCGGTTTTCCTTACGGAGGCATAAGTAGTTCATCCTCGTTAGTAGCGTTTATGCATTACTTTCCAATTAATGGGTTGATTTTGAAGTCGGATCTTGTTTGTTTTTGGGTTATTTAGTTTATCGGTTTCGTGGGTATGCCGGAGTGTGGGTTGAAGATCAAGTTAGTTTAAGCGAAAATTCTGGGTTGTGGTCCTAGTGATGGAAAATAAGTGTTCCACTTGATAATGGGTCTCTTTTATGGGTTTTTTAAGTTAAAAAGGTCTTTAGTCGGGGCTGTTTTTTTATACATGTATTCGGCGATTTTGTTTCCTTTTACTTGTTATTTCGTTATGACTGGGAAATGCATTTTAATGGAATGGGAGATTCTATCTGTGAGTAGTACTAGGATTAGTTTGCTGGTTTTGCTAGATCCAATTGGTTTGAGGTTTAGGAATGTGGTTTGTTTTATTTCTGCATGTGTTTTAGTTTTTTCGTCTTATTATATGGCGGGAGATTATTTTTTAAGTCGTTTTATTTGGCTGGTGATGATATTTGTGCTGTCAATGAATTTTTTAGTATTTATTCCTAGTTTAATTTCTTTGCTTATTGGCTGGGACGGCTTAGGGGTTGTTTCTTTTGCTTTAGTTATTTATTACCAGAGGAGGAAGTCCCTTTCTGCTGGGATGCTAACTGCCTTAGTAAACCGAATTGGGGATGTGACTTTATTGTTGGCTATTGGGTTTAGTGTTCTTCAGGGGCACTGGAATGTGCTGTTTATGTGGGATACCGAATTGTCTATTTTAGTAATTTTTTGTATTTTGGTGGCTGGGATGACTAAGAGAGCCCAGGTTCCGTTTTCTAGGTGGTTGCCTGCTGCCATGGCAGCACCTACTCCTGTTTCGGCTTTGGTTCATTCGTCTACTCTGGTTACTGCTGGAGTGTTCCTGTTTATTCGGTTTTTCCCTTTTGTGAGTTCTTTTCATGGGTTTAGTTCTAGGTTGTTATTTGTGTCGGTTTTGACTATGTTGATGGCCGGGATTGGGGCTAACTATGAGTTTGATTTAAAGAAAGTTATTGCCCTCTCGACTTTGAGTCAGCTAGGGGTTATGATGGCTAGATTGGGGTTGGGAGCCCCATATTTAGCATTATTTCATTTGTATACTCATGCCTTATTTAAGGCCATGTTGTTTTTATGTGCAGGGGGGATTATCCACAATAATAGTGATATTCAGGATTTGCGTTGCCTTGGTGGGCTTTGAGGGCAAATGCCGTTGAGGGTCGCGTGTTTAAATGTCGCGAATTTGGCTTTGTGTGGTGCTCCTTTTTTGAGTGGGTTTTACTCCAAGGATTTAATTTTGGAGAGAAGTCTATTTAGTCCTTGTAATTTGGTAATACTTTTCTTGATTTTTTTGGCTACTGGGATGACAGCTGCGTATAGGGTTCGTTTGTCAATTTACTCTCTCTGGGGTCAAAGTAATCATCGTCCGTTGCATCAAAATTTTGATGAGAGAGGGGAGGCGACCTGGCCGGTTGTGATTTTGGCCTTGATTAGGTTGTTTGTGGGGAAAGAGATGCAGGGGTTGTTTGTTGAGTTTAATTGTAGATATGTGTTTCCAGTGAGGTATAAGTTGTTAGTAGTGGGAGTTGGTTTGGTTGGAGTTTGGCTGTCTGTGATGGCCTGGCGTTCCCCAGTTTTAGGTGAAGGTCAGGTTGGTTTTAGTTTCCTGTCTGGCTTTTTTTCGTGAATATGGTTTTTAGTTCCTTTATGTACCCAGCCAGTTGTCAAAGGGCCCTTGCGAGCAGGCGGTGATTTCTTTAAGTACTTGGATCAGGGCTGATTTGAGGTTGGTGGCGGTAGCGGTGTATTGTTTATAGTTAAAGAAGGGTCTCGGGGTAGCGAGTTTTTCCAGCAAAAGCTTATTAGTTTTTTGGTAATGATGGTGGTGTGATCTGCTGTTTTGATTTTATTTTGGGTTGTTGTATAGATCGGCTTATTGCTTTGGTAGCTTATAAAAAGAGCGTGGCGCTGAAGATGCTAAGGAGGGAGCGGTTCCCCCAGGGCAGTATTACTAATTTTTAATTTTAAAGTATGTGTAGAGTTACTTACTTAGCGTGGTCGTCTGAGTAGAGGGTGATTAAGAGTGAGAAAATGTATGCTTGAATGAGGGATACCCCGATTTCAAACATGAAGTAGAAGGTCTGCACGGTTAAGAGTGTTAGTAGAGTGACTTTAGGGTAAATAAAGATTGCTGAGCAAAGGTAGGTGCTGATTAGGCCGAGGACGATGTGGCCGGCCCTTATGTTGGCTGCTAGTCGGATAGATAGTGTGATAGGGCGAACCAGGATACTGACAGTCTCTACAAGCACGAGGAATGGGTTAAGGAGGGCCGGAGCTCCGGCCGGCAGTAAACCGGCTGCGGTTGAGGACGGGTTTAAGATGGCTCTTGAAATAATTAAAGACATTCATAGGGGGATTCTTAAAGACAGAGTTATGGCGAGGTGGCTGGTATTTCTAAACACGTATGGCACTAGGCCCAGAAGGTTGAGGACTAATAGAGAGGCAAATAAAGCCGCCATAAAGTTTGTGAATCCTCCTAGTTTTAGGCCGAAGGATCGGGTGACTTGGGAGGAAATAACGCTCTTTGGGACATTTAATAGATAGGCAAAACGGTTTGTGTTTGTTCAGATTGATATATTGAAGATTGCAAGGACTAGAAGTGAGCAAAGTCACATTAGAATGTATATTGATATGAATACGGAGTTGTGGTCGTCGAATGATGAGAAAATATCTGCTATCATTTCTTTAGGGTGTGGTTTAAATTAAATTAGGTTGAGGGAATTATCAGGGCCATGAGCTGGATGCTTGTGGGTTAGTTGATGATTGAGGGGGAGTATTAACTGTGTAATTTGGCTTGTATGACCATCAAATGATGACGGCTACGGTGGCGATTGTGAGTCAGAATAAAGTGAATAGGAATAGTCAATTAATTGGTGCTAATTGTGGCATGAAGGATTGGTAGGACTGTTTGTGAAGAAGTCACGTGATTAATAATCTTAATCCTTAGATGGATGGGGAGAAGGGGGAAAAGAAAGGCCTTAGTCTTCTTGGGTAGTTAGTATTACCCACTGTGAGAAGTCGTCGACATTAATTGCTTCGATTGTGATTGGCATGAAGGAGTGGTTAGTTCCGCAAATTTCTGAGCATTGTCCGTAGAACACCCCTTCGTTAGTGGCCATAAAACTTGTCTGGTTAAGGCGGCCGGGGATTGCGTCTACTTTAACCCCGAGAGATGGGACGGCCCATGAGTGGATTACGTCGTTAGAGGTAATTAGTATCCGGACATCTGTTTTTGTTGGAACAACTATTCGTCGGTCAACTTCAAGTAATCGGTATTGTCCGGCCTCTAGTGTGTCTTCTGGTAGTATATATGAGTCGAACTCTATTCCTTTAAAATCTGAGTATTCGTAGCCTCAGTATCACTGGTTACCAGTTGCCTTGATTGTTAGAAGGCACGATATACCGACTTCGTCTAGTAGGTAAAGGAGGCGCAAGGATGGTAGGGCGAGGAAAATAAGGATAATGGCTGGTAGAATGGTTCAGATTGTTTCGATGGTTTGTTGTTCTAGAATATACCGGGATGTGAGAGATCTTAACATAAAAGATGCGGTAAGGTAACCTACTAGTGTAGTGATCAGAAGTAGGATTAGTAGAGCATGGTCATGGAAGAAGATGAGCTGTTCCATTATTGGGGAAGCGCTGTCTTGAAATCCTAGTTGTCCTCATTGGGCCATTACGTGAATCAAGTGGAGTGTTTAAGGGGAAGGCGGAAAGATTAGATCACTTTTTGGTAGCAGTTTGGTGTTTCTGCTAGGTTGTGGAAGTCGAGGGGTAGAAGGTTTGTCCACTCTAGTCTTGTAGACATATTAAGTGCTCAGAGGACTCCCCGTTGCGATACTAATGATTCCCATACGATTACTATAAAGTAAAGTACGGCTACTAGGGAAATTATGGAGCCAAATGAGGATACGACATTTCACTTGGTGTAAGAGTCCGGGTAGTCAGAGTACCGGCGAGGTATTCCGGCTAGCCCAAGGAAGTGTTGCGGGAAGAATGTTACGTTTACCCCAATAAATATAATAAAGAAATGTGCTTTTGTTCAGCGGGCGAGCTGGGTTAAACCAGTGAATAAGGGGTATCAGTGGTTGAATGCGGCGAATAGGGCAAAGACCGCTCCTATTGAGAGGACGTAATGGAAATGGGCTACGACGTAGTATGTATCGTGTAGTATGATGTCTAGGGATGAGTTTGATAGAACAATCCCTGTTAAGCCCCCTACTGTAAACAGGAAAATGAATCCTAGAGCTCAGAGTATTGAGGCCTCATATTTTATTCGGGCACCGTGGATAGTAGCAAGTCAACTAAAAATCTTGATTCCGGTTGGAACGGCAATGATCATTGTCGCTGCGGTGAAGTAAGCTCGGGTGTCTACGTCCATTCCGACGGTGAACATGTGGTGGGCTCAGACGATGAAGCCAAGGATACCAATTGCTAGTATAGCATAAATTATTCCTAAGGTCCCAAAAGTCTCTTTTTTCATGGCGTAGTGCATGACTACGTGTGAAATTATTCCAAATCCCGGAAGAATAAGAATGTAGACTTCTGGGTGACCGAAGAATCAGAATAGGTGTTGATAGAGGATGGGGTCCCCTCCTCCGGCAGGATCGAAGAATGATGTATTGAAGTTACGGTCAGTTAGTAGCATTGTAATTGCGCCAGCAAGTACTGGGAGGGAGAGAAGAAGGAGGATGGCTGTGATTTTTACTGATCATACAAATAAAGGCATTCGCTCTAACGGTTGAGCTTTTACTCGTATGTTTATGACAGTGGTGATGAAGTTGACTGCCCCCAGGATTGAGGAGATTCCGGCTAGGTGAAGTGAAAAAATTGCCAAGTCTACTGATGCGCCGGCATGGGCTAGGTTGCTGGATAGTGGGGGGTAGACTGTTCATCCTGTCCCGGCACCACTTTCTACAGCACCCGATGTTAATAGAAGGGTTAGTGAGGGTGGGAGTAGTCAGAATCTTATATTATTTAGTCGAGGAAAAGCCATGTCAGGTGCCCCAAGCATTAGTGGGACCAGTCAATTTCCGAATCCCCCAATTATTAGTGGCATAACTAAGAAAAAGATTATAACGAAAGCGTGAGCTGTTACAATTACGTTGTAGAGTTGATCGTCCCCGAGAAGTGCTCCCGGTTGGCCAAGCTCTGCTCGAATGAGAAGGCTTAGTGCAGTTCCGACTAGGCCGGATCAAATGCCAAAAATTAAGTATAGTGTTCCGATGTCTTTATGGTTTGTAGAATAGGTCCATCGCATAATTGATAGGGTTAAATGAAATCCACTGACATTGAGATTATGCCCAGGACCAGAAACGCACCAGCAAAATTGATGATTAGGATTGCTGGGGTTAATATAATGTTTAGGGACCCCGGGAGGTTTTGAGTTTGATGGTTGTTAGAGGAAATGAGCGTTATTGAAGATGAGAATGTCATTCTGAAGAGAAGGGTTAAGTAGTAAAATAATCTTATTAAGCTTCCTAGTAGAAGTGGGAAAACCAGGGCTGGTGAAGAAATAATGCAGGAGAAAGAGATGGCTGTCCATTTTGCGGCGAATCCCAGGAGAGGGGGCATTCCCCCTAGGGATAGGAGGATAAAAATTAAGGTTAGCTGGTTGATCTTAGGGTTTTCATTTTTTATAGCCCCGATATGCCGGAAAGATTTAATATCAGAAGTTCACAGGTTTGCGAATAGACAAATTGAGATTAATGTATAAATAATGAAGTAAATTTTTAGTGCTCTTTCCCTAGTTAATGCGCAGAATGTTATTCAACCGACGTGGCCAATTGATGAGTAGGCCAGGAGCGTTCGAATTTGAGTTTGATTGATTCCCCCTAATCCGCCAATAAGTCTGGAGAGGCCCGCTATGATGAATAGGGTCGAGATGATGGGCTGGTGGTTTCATCTCTGTGTCATGGCGGTTAGCAGGAATACTGGGGCCAGCTTTTGTCAGGTGGTTAGAATAAGGCAATTAAGTCAGGAGAGGTTTATTATCACCTCTGGTAACCAAAAGTGGAATGGGAAAGCCCCTAGTTTCAGGAACAGGCTAAGAATAATTAAGGTTAGTCCAAGTGGGCTTGTGTGGTATTGTCAGGCTTCTCATGACAGGGAGAGGTTGAATGATAGAAGGCTTCCGAACATAAGTATTCTTGATCCCAGTGCTTGTATAATGAAGTACTTAATTCTGGATTCTGTCTCTATAGTTAGTCCTCGGTAGATTAAAAGTGGGATAAATCCCATTATGTTGATTTCTAGCCCAACCCAAATTCTTAGTCAGTGGATTGAAGACAGGGAAAGGATAGATCCCAGGAATGTAATGAAAGAGAATAAGAACCCAAAAGGCATTATTGATAGCATTTTAGGGGGAAGGATGGGCCGAACCACCCAAAACAAAGTTAGCAGCCCTGTTCTACCCCTGGTTTCCCCCGCTAAGTAGGTAAAATTTGAGATTTACAGTCTCCTAATTAACAGTCAGGCGCTTGGCTTAAGCTTCTACTTATTATCGGGCGGAGCCCTTATTCTATTCAATTTAAGGAGCCTTCGTTCCATTCGTGGAATAAACCTAGGATTAAGATAAGAAGAAAGCAAAGAACCCCGGCGGAGGAGACAAGATCTGTAGCGGCCATTATTTTTGTAATGGCCGGGAATAATAGAACAATTTCTACATCAAAGATGAGGAAAATTACCGCTAGGAGGAAGAATCGGAGAGAAAAGGGAAGACGGGCAGAGCTCATTGGGTCGAAGCCACATTCAAATGGGGATATTTTTTCCCGGTCTATCTGGGATCGCTTGGCTAGTGTTCATGCGACCACTATTAAGACCGAAGAGATGACCAGGGCTAGAGAAGATAGTGTAAAGATTGCTGTCATTTGAGGTAATGGAGAGTGAAATTATCTCATATTATGCGTCATCAACGCATCCCGTTTTGTCCGGCACATTACCTGCCTAGGTAGTACGTTAGTTAGAAAGGGGAACGTAGGGCTCCCAGTCTTCGGGCCGAAACCGATTGCGTAATCGCTTCTTTCTATGGCACTAGAAACAAGTATTATTTCAATGCTTAATTGCAAGTCAAGTCTTTTATTTTAAAGTATAGTGCCGGGGATAGGGCGAATATCTATCATGAGTTAGATTAAAAGTCTAATGCTATTGTCAGCCACCCAAAAGAACTGTTCGGGGGTTAGCCCGAATTTTCTGATTGACAGACAGATGTTTTAAGTTGAAACTAACACTTCAATGAAGTAAAGGGGTTTATTGTTGTTTTAAGATCCCCATCAGTAAATTGATAGGTATAGGAAAAGCCACACTACGTCTACAAAATGTCAGTATCATGCAGCTGCTTCGAAACCAAAATGATGGCTTGTTGAGAAATGGTTAGCATAGAGTCGGATTAAGCAGACAATTAAGAATGTGGTTCCGATGAGTACGTGTAGGCCATGGAATCCGGTGGCTACATAAAATGTGGATCCATAGACTCCGTCTGCGATTGTGAAAGGGGCTTCGATGTACTCCCCTGCTTGCAGGAACGTGAAGTAGGCTCCGAGGATGACGGTTAGAAGGAGTCTTTGAAACCTCTCTTTTTTGTCCCCTTCTAGGATTCTGTGGTGGGCCCATGTTACTGTAACTCCGGATGCTAAAAGTACGGCAGTGTTAAGAAGTGGAACTTGGAAAGGGTTGAGTGGGGAGACTCCGGTCGGTGGCCATGCAGAGCCGAGCTCTGGAGTTGGGGCCAGTCTTCTGTGAAAATAGGCTCAGAAGAAGGCAAAAAAGAAGCAGACTTCTGATACAATAAATAAGATTATTCCTCATCGTAGGCCTGATGCTACATTAGTTGTGTGGAATCCTTGAAATGTCCCTTCTCGGACTACATCACGCCATCATTGAATTATTGTTAGAATGATTAGTACTGTCCCTAAGATTGGGATTATTGTAGGGTGTCCGTGTATTCACCCAGCTGTGCCAGCTGTTAAAAAAAGTGCGCCTACAGATCCGGTTAATGGCCACGGGCTAAACTCGACAAGATGAAAAGGTCTTCGGGTCATTTCTGTGATCACTTTTATGGTAAAAAACTGTTTAATTAGTTGTGGCGGGCATAGGACTAACAGGGTCTGGGTAATAAGGTTGTTTTGTGAGCGGGGGGTTAAGGTATTTGCGTTATAAAAATTCATTTTGTTTTACAGGGGCCCGAAAAGTAGGTAAAAATCACTAAAAATAGGGGTAAAAGAGTTCTACTTTTTTCTTGGGAGATAGTTAGAATAAGTTTTTTATAGCTAAATTTTTATCTAAAAAATGGGGCAATATTTGGTCGGGTAGAAAATGGCAGATGTTATGGTCAGCTCCTAAGGTGGGTGATTTCTGGAGAAAAAAAAGGGGGGGGGGGTGTGTCTCCCGGAAAATAGGGGGTTAGAAGGGGGGCCCCCAGTAAAACAGGTGTAAAAAAGGGTGTTTTTGATGCAAATTGCTAGTGGGAGTCGCCTAAAACAGTTAGGAGTTAGAAAAGGGTAAGTGTGAATGGGTGAGTACAAATATATATATATATATATATATATGTATATATATATATATATATATATATATATATATATATATATATATATATATATATATATATATA